TGGGTGTGGGGGGTAGATGATGAAATGTGTGCTGAGCTGTGAGGGTGGGGTAAATAATGAAATGGGTGCAGGGTTGTGGGGGGTGGGGTGGGGGTGCAGATAATGAAATGGGTGCAGTGCTGGGCGTGTGGGGTGGGGTAAATAATGACATGGGTCCAAAGCTGGGGGAGTTTGGGGGGGGGGTAAATTAAATGGGTGCAGAGCTGGGGGCGGTTTTGGGAGGTAAATAATGAAATGGGTGCTGAGCTGTGGGTGTTGGGGTAGATAATGAATTGGGTGAAAAGCTTTGGGTGTGGGTGATGGCTTAGATAATTAAAAGGGTGCAGAGCTGGGCGTGTGGTACATAATGAAATGGGTGCAGAGCTGTGGGTGTGGCTTAGAAAATGAAAAGGGTACAGAGCTGGTCGTTTGGGGGTGGATTTAATAATGAAATGGGTGCAGAGCTGGGGTGGTGTTCGGGGGGGTAAATAATGAAATTGGTGCAGAGCTGTGGGGATGTGGGGTAGATGATGAAATGGGTGCAGAGCTGTGAGTGTGTGGGGTAGATAATGAAATGTGTGCTGAGCTGTGGGTGTATGAGTGGGGTAAATAATGAAATGGGTGAAGAGCATGTGTGGGGGGAGATGTTGAAATGGGTGCAGAGCTTTTTGAGTGGAGGGGGAGATAATGAAATGGGTGCAGAGCTGTGTGTGTGTGTGGGGGTAGATAATGTAATGGGTGCAGAGCTGTGGTTATGTGAGGTGGGGTAGATTATGAAGTAGGTGCAGAATTGTGGGAGTGAAGGGCCAAAATCCATTTAATGTGTACGCAAAATCTTAAACACAGTCTCTGCTAAAAGGCAACAGAGGGTCCTGTGGCACCTTTAAGACGAACAGAAGTATTGGAGCATAAGCTTTCGTGGGTGAATGCCCACTTCATCAGCATTCACCCACGAAAGCTTATGCTCCAATACTTCTGTTCGTCTTAAAGGTGCCACAGGACCCTCTGTTGCTTTTTACAGATTCAGACTAACACGGCTACCCCTCTGATACTAGTCTCTGCTAAGAACTTTTCACATTGGCCCGAATTCCACAGCGTGATCTGGGGCCTAGTTAACAATGAACAATACTAGCTAAGAAAAACTGAATAAAACAGGAGACAACCTTGCTTTGTTTCTACTAGATGAGCGGAGTCAGCATAACGCCAGATGGTGAGCCGTAATTGGGTGTCCTTATCATAAGTTACAGACGCACAATCGTTGAGAAGGGCCTCAAAGTCTACTCCCCAATGCAGGAAGGAGATAGTGAATACCCCCCCGCCCCCCACATGCCTACTAGAGTCCAGGGAGAGGCCCAACATGTCAGTATGAGACAGGACATCCTCCCCCTTCACAGGTATACCCTCCTTCATGGATGCCAATCCTAGTTCACAGCAATGCAAGGGTAAAACTATAAAACTATAAACAATTGTTATTGTTGCATACTAATCACTGTCGTTTGCTTTAAATCTCCAGGAATCTACCTGTTGGTCAACCGGGAGAGCTGCTACCTCATTCCCCTGGACCCCAAAATTAGGATTTAACCTATACACTTCAATAGGAATAGTTTGAGGGAAATTACCTGTGTATTAGCAACATATTAACCTGAGCCATGGATGGTGCCATTATGTAATCTTTTTAGACTATTGGCTTATTGTGCTTATCTTGTTTTGCTGCTAGAACCTATCCAGGGGCTCGGGAATTCCCACCCTGTCGCTTCTCTCTGCCCAATGAGCAATATAATCAATTGTTTTGCAGTGTCTCTGAGCCCAATAAGCAAAGTGACACTCCACCAGCGCTGTGCGTAACAAACCCTTGTGCTTGACTTGACACGGTGTCCATTTCTGTTCCTTCAGGGTGTGTGTTGGGGGTGGGGTAGATAATGAAACGGGTGCAGAGCTATGTGCAGGGTGGCTTAGATACTGAAATGGGTGCAAAGCTGTGGCTGTGGGGGGTGCGGTTCATAATGAAATGGGTGTAGAGCTGGGCGTGTGTTGGGGTGGGGTAGATAATCAAATGCATATAGAGCTGCTGTTGTGTGCGGGTGGGGTAGATAATGAAACAGGTGCAGAGCTGGGAGTATGCTGGGGGTGGAGTAAATAATCAAATGGGTGCAGAGCTGTGGGTGTGGGGGGTAGATAAATCGGTATAGGGCTGTCGATGTGTGGGTGGGGTAGATAATGAAATGGGTGCTGAGCTTTGGGTGTGTGGAGGGATAGATAATTAAATGGATGTAGAGTTGTGGGGGTGGGGAGTGGGTTTCATAATGAAATGAGTGCAGTGTTGGGGGTGGGAGAAATAATGAAATGGGTGTGGAGCTGTGGGGGGGTAGATAATGAAACGGTGAACAGCTGTGGGTGTGTGGGGGGGTAGATGTTGAAATGGGTGCTGAGTTGTGGGTGTGGCTTACATAATGAAAAGGGTGCAGAGCTGTGGGTGTGTGAGGGTGGGGTAGATAATGAAATGGTACAGAGCTGTGCGTGTGTTGGGGGTGGGGTAGATAATGAAACGGGTGCTGAGCTGTGGATCGGGGTGGCAGATGTTGAAATAGGTGCAGATCTGTGGGTGTTGGGGTGGCGTAGATAATGAAATGGGTGCAGACTTGTAGGTGTGAGGGGTAGATAATGAAACTGGTGCAGACCTGTGGATGTGGGTAGATAATGAAATGGGTGCAGAGCTGTGGTTGTCCTGGGGTGGAGTAGATAATGAAATGGATGCAGACCTGTGGGTATGAGGGATAGATAATGAAATGGGTGTAGAGATGTGTGTTTGTGGAGTTGGGGTAGATAATGAAATGGCTTCAGAGCTCTGTGTGTATGGGGGTAGATAACGAAATGGGTGCTGGTGTGTGTGGGGGTATATAGTGAAATGGGTGCAGAGCTGTGGGTGTTTGGGGGGGGTAGATAATTTACTGGGTTCAGAACTGGGGGTGGGTAGATAATGAAATGGGTACAGAGCTGTGGGTACATGGGGGTGGGGTAGATAATGAAATGGATGCAGAGCTGTGGGGATGGGGTAGATAATGAATCGGGTTCAGAGCTGTGCTCCAAAATTCACATTCCAAGTGAACTGGTGGATGTGTGCAAGGTTTGTGCACAGATTGGGGTGCACTGGCAGAGTTGTGGGGTTCAGGATGTTGGGGTGCATTATCAGGATTTGGAGTGTATGGGCAAAGCTAGTGGGCACACCTGTCTCACCTGAGTCCCCAAACTTCTTAACAGCGAACAGGAGCAGCTAACGGGAGTTTTGAGAGGAAGTTCTCTGGATGAAGGAGGAGCAATTACGTGACCCTTGGGGTAATTTTGTTGTCTGTAGTGTTTGTGTTTGTGGTGTGCTTGCTGCTTGACTGAAATATATCGTGTGGTCTGTTTGTTTGGGGCACCGTGTGCTAACCGTGTGAGTGCTGAGCTTAGCGGCCTGCTAGGCAAGGCTGGGAGCTTCTTAACGAGGCTTTGATCCCTAAAGCCTTGGCTACACTTGCGAGTTACAGAGCAATAAAGGAGCCCCGGGCGCACTAGCTCACTAACCGTCCACACTGGCAAGGCACGTAGAGCGCTCTGACTCCATGGCTACAGCGCTGCTGGTACTCCACCTCGGCAAGTGGAATAACATTTGTTGCGCCCCTGCTGGAGCGCCAAGGTGCCAGTGTGGACGCCCTGATCCTCTAGTGCGCTCTGATTGGCCTCCAGAAGTGTCCCATGATGCAAGAAGGACTTTTCTAGCCACTCTGGTCCTCACTTTGAACTCTACTGCCCTGCCCTCAGGTGACCAACCGTCAGACCCACCCTTTAAATTCTCTGGGAATTTTGAAAAATCCCTTCCTGTTTGCTCAGCCAGGTGTGGAGTGCTATCAGCGAATCTTTCCAGGTGACCATGCCTCCACACGCCAGGTGGTCCCCAGTATGGAGCAATGGTGAGTTGCTGGAACTCATCAGTGTTTGGGGGGGAAGGAAGCTGTCCAGTCCCAGCTGTGCTCCAGCCATAGGAATTACAATACCTTCAGGCAGATATCAAGGGACATGGTGGAAAGGGGCCATGACCGGGATGCACTGCAGTGCAGGGTTAAAGTGAAGGAGCTGCCTACCACAAAGCCCGCGAGGCAAACCACTACCCTGTGCTGCCCCCACGACCTGCCATTTCTACAAAGAGCTGGACGCGATAGTTGGGGGCGACCCCACCTCCACTCTGGGGACCACCATGGGCACTTCAGAGTCCAGTCCAACAAGGCAAGAGGAGGAGCAGCAAAGTGGGAGCGAGGATAATATCCCAGAATCCCTAGATGCATGCAGCCAGGAGCTGTTCTCAAGCCAGGAGGAAGGTAGCCAGTCGCGGCGGCTGGTGCTTGGGGAAGGACAAACACCGGAGGAGGTTCCCGCTAAGCAGCTTTTATTTTGGGAAGGAAATTATTCGGTGCAGGCTCTTGGGGCGAGAAGGGTTAGGGCTGTATGCATGCCTAGATGCGGAATATGGCGTTGATGTCCTTTCTCACATCGCGGTAATCGGCCTCAGTGATCTCTTCAAAGGTCTCATCCAGAACTTGGGCAATGCGCTTGCGCAGGTTTCATGGGAGAGCCACTGTGGTCCTTGTCCCAGTCAGGCTAACTTGCCCGCGCCACTGTGCTGTGAGGAGTGGGGGAAACCAGTGCTGCACACAAAGCAAGCTGCATATGGGCCTGGGCAGAAGCCGCATTGCAGTAGAAGACCCTCCCTTGCTTCCCAGGTCACCCTCAGCAACAAGATATCTTCCAGGAAGAACTCCTGTGGAAAACGTGGGGACAGTGTTCGGTATAGGGGCCCCCTTCCACTGTTGGCTCTCCCCAAGGCACAGAAACCCAGAGGACAGTACGGCCATGAAACAATCAGTCACACTTGACCCTGTGCTTACTCACCATTTTGGGGCTCCTGAGGGTTATGTGCGCTCGCTTTGAAACGGGCAAATTATGCTATTGTGTAGACTGTGCTTGCCCTTAAAAAAATTTAAAAAAATTAATGGAAATATCCTATCTCCTAGAACTGGAAGGGACCTTGAAAGGTCATCAAGTCCAGCCCCCTGCCTTCACTAGCAGGACCAAGTACTGATTTTGCCCCAGATCCCTAAGTGGCCCCCTCAAGGATTGAACTCACAACCCTGGGTTTAGCAGGCCAATGCTCAAACCACTGAGCTATCCCTCCCCCCTCAATGCTCAAACCACTTAAGCTATCCCTTAAGTATGGGGGAATCGTTGCTCTGTCTGGTGTGAACAATGCTGCCTCTGTTAAGTGTTGCATTTTGCCTTTACAGATGCAACCTTGAGATCTCAGCCATCCATATTATCACCAGCCAAAAGACTCCAAAGAATCAGAAAGAGGCCATGTAGAAGCAAGGAAGACGTTGCATGAAGTAATGCAGCATTCAAGTAATGAAAATCAAAAAGTGCAGGAGTGGCAGGGAGAGTGAAAGGAAGGTCCGCCAGCAGAATGCGGATCGCCGGCACCAAAGCACAGAGCGGCTGCTAAGCATCATAGAGAGGCAAGCGGACTCGATACAGGCGCTCGTAGCAATGCAGGCGGAGCACATCCGCGCCCACTCCCCCCCGCAGCCCTTGTCCCAAAACTCTTTCCCTTGTGCCCCCATGTCACCTCCAACCCACTTTCCCCAACATCCTGGTTCTTATCTCCACCAGCTGCCTCCAACACCTGTAGCTTCACCACCCAGCCCTGAAAACTACAACCCTTACCCACTGCACTCAACCCCTATCATCATGCAGTATAGCCATCCTGAAGTGCAGCACTCATTGCACAGCACTCCAGACAGGACATATGCAAATCTGTGATTGTACCGTTCCGCACTCCCTTGCCCTTTCTGTTTCCCAAGCAGTTGTATCTCTCTTCAATAAATGCATTTTCTTTTCAATAAATGGATTTTTAGGAAAGAAACAGGCACTGCAAGTTAGCGTAGTAAACACAGATTCCTACTAACATTGGAAGTACTGCACTTCACTCCCGTGCAGGGCACCAGACATTACAGGTGGCTTTCAGCCTCAGATTGCTCCCTCAAGGCATCCCTAATCGGTGCAGCCCAGTGCTGGGCCCCTCTAATAGCCCTGCTCTCTGGCTGTTCAAATTCAGCCTCCAGGTTTTGAAGTTCCATCCCTGAGTGAATCTTTCACCCTTCCCTTCACAAATGTTATGGAGGGTACAGCACGTGGATATAACCATGGGGATGTTATCGGCCAGATCCAGCTTCCCATACAGAGAGCTCCAGCGGCCCTTTAAACGGCCAAAAGCACACTCCACAGTCATTCTGCATTGGCTCAGCCTGTTGTTGAACTGCTCCTTGCTGCTGTCAATGCCCCCTGTGTCGGGTTTCATGAGCCACGGCATTAAAGGGTAAGCTGGGTCTCCAAAGATCGCAATGGGCATTTCAACTTCCCTTATGGTGAACTTCTGGTCTGGAAAAAAAGTCCTGGCTTGCAGCTTCCTGAACAGGCCAGTGTTCCGAAAGATGCATGCATCATGCCCCTTTCCGGGCCAGCCTGCGTTAATGTCAATGAAATGCCCACGGTGATCCACAAGCACTTGGAGAACCATAGAGAAATAGCCCTTCCCATTAACATACTCAGACTAGGTGGGCTGGTGCCAGAATTGGAATATGCGTCCCATCTATCGCCCCTCCGCAGTTAGGAAACCCATTTATGCAAAGCCAGCCACAATGTCATGCACTTTACCCAGAGTCACGGTTCTTCTGAGCAGGATGCGATTAATGGCCCTGCAAACTTGCATCAACACGATTCCAGTGGTCGACTTTCCCACTCCAAACTGGTTAGCGACCGATCGGTAGCTGTCTGGAGTTGCCAGCTTCCAGATTGCAATAGCACCCGCTTCTCCACCATCAGGGCATCTCTCAATCTCATGTCCTTGTGCCACAGGGTGGGGGCGAGCTCCTCACACAGTCCCATGAAAGTGGCTTTTCTCATCCGAAAGTTCTGCAGCCACTGCTAGTCATCCCAGACTTGCATGACGATGTGATCCCACCACTCAGTGCTTGTTTCCCAAGCCCAAAAGCAGCATTCCATGGTGGTGAGCATGTCCGTGAATGCCACAAGCAAACTCGTCATATGCGTTACTCGAGTCGATATCATTGTCGGAGCTCTCACTGTCACTTTGGATCATAAGGAAAAACTCGACTGCCAAACGTGACATGCTGGTGAGACTCATCAGCATATTCCTCAACAGTTCGGGCTCCATTCCCGCAGACCAAAAGGGAAGACAGAGCGTGCAGTACAAAAAATGTTGAAAGATGGTGCCAAATGTGGACGGAAGCAAAGGGAATGCTGGGATGCAAACCAATGCATCACGGGGCGTTGGGACAGGACCCCTTCCCACAAGCCACAGTGCCAGAATGGGAGGAGGTGCTCTGTGGGATAGCTGCCCATAATGCACCGCAGCAAGTGCCGCAAATGCGGCCACGCCAGTGCGCTTGAAGCTGTCAGTGTGGACAGACTGCAGCGCTTTCCCTACTGCGCTCTCTGAAGGCGCGTTTAACTCACAGCGCTCTACGTCTGCAAGTGTAGCCATGCCCTAAGCCCTTTAGCACCCATCAATCCTTAACCAGGGGGTGGAGCTACTCAGGAAGACCAGGGCTTTAAAAAGCCCGCTCCTAAGTGACCAGAGGAGCTAGCGAATAGGAGAGGCTAACGGGAGTTTTGCGAGGCAGTTTAGAGGGGAAGTGTGTGAGAGGGGTGTCTAGATAAACTTAACATTCTTTAACCTTAAAGCTAAAAACACCCCGTGATAAAAACAAAACAGCAATAAAGGAACAAGCTTCAGAAGTAAAAAGAGAATTCAGGCAGAAGTCCAGCAACAGAGTGGGGGCTATCCAGTTTATTGCACCCAATGCAGAATGTATGATTACCTGCCCTATGGGCAGGTGGCATGTGTGTGCATTCGGTGCAAGGAGTTCCTGGCCCTCAGAGACTATGTACGGGCTTTGGAGACCAGGGTGGCTGAACTGGAGAAGCTAAGGGAGACAGAGAGGTACATAGATGAGACTTTCTGGGACACAGTAGAACAGTCCCATCCCTGGTCTGACAGCCTCTGTGCTGTTGAGGCGAATGAAAGTCTCAGGGAAGGAGAACATCCAACCGGAGCAGAGGAAAATGATCCAATATTTGGGACCCTCCTTCCAGATGATGTTGTGGTATCCTCTCACAGTGAGGATCTCTCTCTGGGGGAGGGAACTCCAGTTATTAGGAAGAGACAGGTATTAGTAATGTGCAATTTGATCATTAGAAACAGATAGCTGGGTTTGTGATGACCGGGAGAACCGCATGGTGACTTGCCTGTCTGGTACGAAGGTTGTGGATCTCTCGAGACATCTAGATATACTTATGTGTAGTGCTGGGGAGGAGCCAGCAGTTGTGGTACATGTAGGTACCAATGACATAGGAAAGGATAGGAGAGAGGTCCTGGAGGCCAAATTTAGGCTGCTAGGTAAGAGATTGAAGTCCAGGACCTCTATTCTCTGAAATGCTTCCAGTTCCATGCGCAGGGCCAGTTGGACTGGCAGAACTGCAGGGTCTCAATGCGTGGATGAGATAATGGTGTAGGGAGAAGGGGTTTTGATTTATTAGGAACTGGGGAAACTTTTGGGAAAGGGGGAGCCTATATAGGAAGGATGGGCTCCATTTAAACCAAAATGGAACCTGATTGCTGGCACTTAAAATTAAAAGGGTTGTTGAGCAATTTTTAAACTAAGGGCTGGGGGAAAGCCGACAGGTGCAGAGGAGCATGTGGTTCAGACAGAGACATCCCTTAGGGAAGGATCTATTAATGGAGATTCTCTATGACCTAGTAAGGAGGAGAGGATGGAAGATGATAAAATACAGGTAAGATCTGATTAGAAAGAGTCAAATGAAAAAAGTCCCATTCAATTACTTTTTAGCTATCTGCCATTACATGATGTAACAAGTTTTTTAAGTGCATATATACCTATGCTAGAAGTCTAAATAATGAGATGGGTGAACTAGAGTGCCTTATATTAAATAAGGATATTGATATAATAGGCATCACAGAAACTTGGTGGAATGAGGATAATCAATGGGACACAGTAATACCAGGGTACAAAATATATCGGAAGGACAGAACAGGTTGTGCTGGTGGGGGAGTGGCACTATATGTGAAAGAAAGCATAGAATCAAATGAAGTAAAAATCTTAAATGAACCAAACTGTACCATGGAATCTCTATGTATAGTAATTCCATGCTTGGATAATAAGCATATTGCAGGAATATATTACCGACCACCTGACCTGGATGGTGAAAGTGACTGTGAAATGCTCAGGGAGATTAGAGAGGCTATTAAATTAAAAAACTCAATAATAATGGGGGATTTCAACTATCCCCATATTGACTGAGTACATGTCACCTCAGGACAGGAGGCAGAGATAAAGTTTCTTGACACCTTAAATGACTGCTTCTTGGAGCAGCTGGTCCTGGAATCCACAAGAGAGGCAATTCTTGATTTAGTCCTAAGTGGAGCACAGGATCTGGTCTAAGAGGTGAATATAGCTGGACTGCTTGGTAATAGCGATCATAATATAATTAAATGTAACATCCTTGTGGTGGGGAAAACACCACAGCAGCCTAACACTGTAGCATTTAATTTCAGAAAGGGGGACTACAGAAAAATGAGGAAGTTAGTTAAACAGAAATTAAAGGGTACAGTGCCAAAAGTGAAATCCCCGTAAGTTGCATGGAAACTTTTTAAAGACACCATCATAGAGGCTCAACTTAAACGTATACCCCAAATTAAAAAACACAGTAAGAGAACCAAAAAAGCCACCATGTTTAGCCACCATGGCTAAACAACAAAGTAAAACAAGCAGTGAGAGGCAAAAAAGCATCCTTTAAAAAGTGGAAGTTAAATCCTAGTGAGGAAAATAGAAAGGAGCATAAACTCTGGCAAACAAAGAGTAAAAATATAATTAGGAAGGCCAAAAAACAATTTGAAGAAGAGCTAGCCAAATATCAAAAAATTAAGTGCATCACAAGCAGGAAGCTTGCTAAACAACCAGTGGGGCCACTGGATGATCAAGATGCCAAAGAAGCACTCAAGGACAATAAGGCCATTGCGGAGAAACTACTGTCAATGAATTCTTTGCATCGATCTTCATGGCTGAGGATGTGAGGGAGATTCCCAAACCTGAGCCATTCTTTTTAGATGACAAATCTGAGGAACTGTCCCAGATTGAGGTGTCATTAGAGGAGGTTTTGGAACAAATTAATAAACTAAACAGTAATAAGTCACCAGGACCAGATGGTATTCACCCAAGAGTTCTGAAGGAACTCAAATATGAAATTGCAGAACTACTAGCTGTAGTCTCTAACCTATCATTTAAATCAGCTTCTGTACCAGATGACTAAAGGATAGCTAATGTGACGCCAATTTTAAAAAGGGCTCCAGAGGTGATCCCAGCAATTTCAGGCCAGTAAACCTGACTTCAGTGCTGGGCAAACTGGTTGAAACTATAGTTAAGAACAAAATTGTCAGACACATAGATGAACATAATTTGTTGGGGAAGAGTCAACGTGGTTTTTGTAAAGGGAAATCATGCCTCACCAATCTACTAGGATTCTTTGAGGGGGTCAACAAGCATGTGGACAAGGGGGATCCAGTGGATATAGTGTACTTAGATTTTCAGAAAACCTTTGGCAAGGTCCTTCACCAAAGGCTCTTCAGCAAAGTAAGCTGTCATGGGATAAGAGGGAAGGTCCTCTCATGGATTGATAACTGGTTAAAAGATAGGAAACAAAGGGTAGGAATAAATGGTCAGTTTTCAAAATGGAGAGAGATAAATAGTGGTGTCCCCCAGAGGTCTGTACTGGGACCAGTCCTATTCAACATATTCATAAATGATCTGGAAAAAGGGGTAAACAGTGAGGTGGCAAAATTTGCAGATGATACAAAACTACTCAAGATAGTTAAGTCCCAGGCAGACTGCGAAGAGCTACAAAAGGATCTCTCAAAACTAGGTGACTGGACAACAAAATGGCAGATGAAATTCAATGCTGATAAATGCAAAATAATGCACATTGGAAAACATAATCCCAACTATACATATAAAATTATGGGGTCTAAATTAGCTGTTACCACGCAAGAGATCTTGGCGTCATTGTGGATAGTTCTCTGAAAACATCCACTCAATGGGAATCATTAGGAAAGGAATAGATAATAAGACAGAAAATATCATATTGTCTCTATATAAATCCATGGTAACACTTCATGCAGATGTGTTCACCCCATCTCAAAAAACATATATTGGACTTGGAAAAGGTTCAGAAAAGTGCAACAAAAATTATTAGGCATATGGAACGGCTTCCGCATGAGGAGAGATTAATAAGACTGTGATTTTTCAGGTTGGAAAAGGGACAACTAAGGGGGGATATGATTGAGGACTATAAAATCATGACTGGTGTGGAGAAAGTAAATAAGGAAGTGTTATTTACACCTTCTCATAATACAAGAACTAGGGGTCACCAAATGAAATTAATTGGCAGCAGGTTTAAAACAAACAAAAGGAATTATTTCTTCACACAATGCACAGTCAACCTGTGGAACTCTTTGCCAGAGGATGTTGTGAAGGCCAAGACTATAACAAGGTTCAAAAAAGAACTAGATAAATTCATGGAGGATAGGTCCAACAATGGCTATTAGCCAGGATGGGCAGGGATGGTGTCCCTAGCCTCTGTTTGCCAGAAGCTGGGAATGAGCGACAGGGAATGGATCACCTGTTCTGTTCATTCCCACTGGGGCACCTGGCATTGGCCACTGTCAGAAAACAGGATACTGGGCTAGATGAACCTTTGGTTGGACTCAGTATGGCTGTTCTTTTCCCTATAATCTATACCCATTGATTCCCCTCCCCATAACTCCCTCCTCGCTCCCCTTATTCTGCTACTGTTCTGCCCCCTAATATTCCTCCTCTCTGAGGAAGCATTCACATGTCTAATTTTTCTTCCCCAAATACTTTGATTACATTCCCCTAAAAATAAAACTGACCCCAAGACTCACAAATGCTAGCATCTTCTAGCCACTCAGTGCAAAACTCTTTTTGTCTTAGGTGGGGGCTTGTGAGAAACTTATCCTTAGTTCTGTTAATTGAAGGGCGAGTTCATAACCAACAATCTCAATGAGGTCTGATTCATCTAATCCAGTGGTTCTCAACCCGTGGGCTGCTTGCAGCCCATATGACATCCTCAGGGCCATAAAGGTATAATATATATAGTGTGTATGGCCCACATAACACTTGAGAACTGCATATGTGGCCCATAATGGTAAATAGGTTGAGAACCACTGATCTAGTCATTTGTACCTCTCAGTTTAACAGTACAAGGCAGCAGAAGGGAACTGATTTTTGGCAGGGGCCTATAACTCGGAATACTCTGGGCAAACAGCCCCAAATTTTGGATCACTAACGCTGCCCCCTGCCTGCATGAAGCACACCAAATTTGGAAGCAATCTGGTTAACCATTTGGATGTCAGAGCACAGACAAGAGTCGAGCTTTAAAGCATATAAAACAGGAATGGAAACCCTCTAGCTGCTTTTTTTTTTATTGGGGCATGCACATTGTCTTGAACCATTCTCAATCTAGGTCTCCAAAGGTTTAGTGTGTACTATGCACTACCCTGAGGAAATGTGTCTAGAGTGTGCCCACTGTGACCCGCACCACATCAATAGTTTGATCTCTAGCTCTGCACAAATAAAAACCACCTAGAAACTGTTTGAAAATGGATTTTTTTCAGGGCTTATATTGCTGCAACCCCCTCACATAAGTGACCCCACATCTGCGGCCTGAAGCCTACGCCCTGCGCTCTCCTGAGGCACACAAATTTGCAAAGGAATCTGACTGAACGTTGATGTTAGAGGACTTTGAATGGGCAACCTTTAAACAGAAGTCAGGATGCAGCCTTAACTCTAGTGGTGTGGCTGCACCACTGTCATATTGCACTCATCAGCAGAGCTGCCATAAACATCTACAGCCTTTTCCTGAAGCCCTTCACCAGAGAACTGGAGCTGGGCCTAGCTTGTTCCCAGAAACTTTGTGGGAGTCTTCCTGATGTGGAGAGCACTCACACACAGTCTACTGCGTCCTTAGCCAAGGACAGGGCTCAGAGGGATTGTGGAGCAGGTGTGAGGTGGGTAGACTAAAGGGTCATGTTTTAGGCCTACAAACTTTGTCAAAAGACAATTTACTTTATAAATTTAGGTTACTGAATTGCATCCTACAATATTTTCTACTTCTCAGAAGAGGCCAACAACTCAACACACACATGATGAGCAGCCTTATAGTATCAAAGCAGCGTGAGGAAGAGCTGGGGATGGGAAAAGAACAAAAAATGTGGGTAAGGAAACAGATTTCAACTGTTAAAGGGGCAAGAGAGGTCATAAACAAGTGACTATATTCAGCCCTGAATTACAGTGCTTTCTACAATCCTGTGATAATCTGTAGCCCTAAGTAAGCAACAGTTTTATTTTTCTTCCTAGATTGTGTCTCTACGTGTGATGTCAGTCTACTGCTCTCATTTTAACAGTTTATTTGAGCCAACGTGGGCTGCTTAGATTTTCAGCTCAGAGCTGAATTTCTCTGCCATCATCTTGTAGCACTACAGGTTGTGTACAATACAGGCCTGATCCAGCCTTCACTGAAGTCAATGGCAATGACTTAACTAAGAACAGGAGCAAGCATTAAGAGACAGGTCACTAGTGATACAATTACATAGGAGAGTTTCTGGATGAAAACGACAGGTGCCCTGGAAAGTACATAAATTCTGAGGTGACTCTTAGTTCATTACAAGAACAAAGAGAGGTATTGTGAGTAACACCAATATACTGAGGATTGGGTTACTTTTGCCTTGTATAAGCTGAAATCTCTGAATTTGTCTCATTGAGGTTAATATAGAACCAAAATTATCTACAGCTAGCAATTAGTTGACACTAATGAACAATATAGGAAGAGATCATATTTCATAGGGAAAGTAGTGCTGATCATTGAATGGTGTAGGAGCAGAGATATTCCATTTGGAAATCTGAATGATTCTGTAGCTTTCAAGTTTCACCTGGCATTGATCATTTAATAGTTACCCAAACACATAGAGCAGATCTATGCAAAGGCTTTTGGAATGCCCACCTTTACCTACCCTTACCTTTACCATGGTGAACAGGATCTCCCATTTATTCCGAAATAAAGGATCCCTTCCTGCTAGGTGGTGGAGTATAAAGTTTGTTTCCCACAGTATACAGCATCCCTGAGGCAGCAGTTGCATATAAAAGTTTCATTTTCCAGTGTGAATATATTGCTTATTGTACAGAACCCCTATGCAAACTGGTGCTTGTCATATTTTAAATGCCAAACCATGCCCTGCTGCTTCATGGGTGAGGAGCCCAGCCAACACCCTTAGTAGTCACTTTGCACTTCATACCACGCTGGCCTGGCTCCCGACCACAAACTGATGTGGGGCTCCCCTCTGCAGGAGACAGCGGCTTTCAGGATTTTACTCATAGAAAAGATACAGACTCCAATTACAGAAGTTGAAAGAATACTCACCTAAATAGTTAGAGTGCAACTTGTGTAGCAAGCAATTGTGGCCTCAAATCACTCTGATCGTGCTCATGGGCTGAAATACAAATGCATTTGAAGTTTTGAGCATGGATTGTTAGAAGGGGTTAACTGACAAAACAAAAACTGAAGGTTGGGTGGAAACAGCAGAAGTGTATCAATTAATAATTTCAAAATTAATTTCCTGATCCTGCAATCACACATGTGCATAACTTTACCCCCATGAGTATTGATTTCAAATTGGTTGGAAAGTTAGGCACGTGCTTAAGGTTTTGCAGGTTCTGTTCCTAAGAGGAGCAGGTCAGAATTTCAGGTACTGTTTCAGGTAAACTGTTTGAGTTTACTGCCACCAAATGAATAGAATTATTAAAAAGCTGACATGTAGACTAATCAAGCAAGCCGGCAAATATGTGTCATCCAGCTGTCTTTGTTTTGTAAAGACAACCACCCAACTGGTATAAGCAGCAGCCAGACCTTAAACACTTCAGAAATCAGATGTGACAGGGGCTGAATAAGCAGAAATATTCCTACATACTGAATACTGATTAAAAAAATCAAACTTGGCACAAATAGTAAATCATACAGCAAGCTGCACACATGGCCTATGACAACTGGAGAATCCTTTGTGGCCACTAAATGCCAGAGTGTTTGCAAAATGTGTATTGACCATTTCATACTAGCATTATGGATCTGAAAATGCACCTACCGTAGTTTTACATCTGGCTAAAATTAACTAAGCAATTTTGTTTTGCACCAATTTAAAATAATCTGCAGGGCTTAAGTGAAGCAAGGGGAATTCTCTCCCCTCCCCCCCCGCTCCCGACAAACTCTTATAAAGTGAAACTGAGCAAATGAGCTTAATTAGAGACACCTTCTCAGCTCCAATCAAGCTTCAGAAGCTCATCCTTGGGACCCAATTGGTTCCTCAATAATAGTAGTTTGTTTTTTCCCCTCCCTCCACAGATTAACCTGTATAAAGAGCCCAAGGAAGTGTTGCATGCTTAAGGGCAAAGGATGGATTTCACAGACACCAAGCTTAGCTACTAACACATTTCAGTGTGGCTGGTGGATGTACAACCAACCAACCACCCTTTCTGCATCTTCGTGTACACACGCACACAGAGGAGAATACCTACCACGCAGCCTTATTGAACAGTGTGGGCAAGGAGTCAGCACTTCAGGCATAGCACATTCAATCTGGTGGTGTCTTGGCACAGGGACAGGTGAGGAACAGTCAGAGAGGAGAGCTATGAGAAGAAATTCATGCAATGTGACGTTAACATGAGTATAGAAATGTGAGTGCAATAACTGAACTTAATGGGATTCCTGGGTTCAGCTCAATAGCCAGCGATTGACATCTGAGCTGGCTATTGGTGACAAGACACGAAGGTTTCTATTAAAGGGGAAGTTTTGGCAACTGACTTGACACAGCAAGTCCTGTCCTAAGTAAGATGCACATTCTTCTCCCTGTTTCAGTGCCTGCCTTTCCCAGAACCAGGCTTCACAGGGAATGATGTAAGAGCATAGGCAGCACGGGTGCCTCAGTTACTGCAGTTCCAGTCTCTCCCAATGGTGTTGATTGTAGGGGAGATCCTCCCGTTCCAGCTGAAACCCCCACAAATACGGATTCCTTGCAGGATGTCCAGCACTGACAGGCCTTTGGGAGAAGGGGACCTGCGGCAGCTGCTGAAGCTATACCGCACGGAGATCTCCATGGCTGTGGACGACGTTTTCCCATTGCTTCATGGACTTGCTGATCATGATGTTGTCACAGAGGAGATGTTCAAGGTGAGAAGAACACTGGCACTCCATGCTAAGTGACTTGCTCAGGTCTAATGTCTGAGGCGTATATTCTAGTGAGGATTCTAACCCTAGAAGCAGTTTGAATGTGGATACTTGTAAATCTGAAAGAAAGGGTCTCAGAGGTGTGGGGAGCTGTAAAAGGGATTGTCAATGTCTTTTGGGGGTAGAGGAAAGTGTCATATTTTAAGCTCACTTCGGGAATTATTGGGGTTATGACTACATTCCTTCGGGACTGGGCAATGATTGTGCACTGCTCTGTATGTGCACATGTATGTATACATGTGCATGCATATAAACCAAGACTTTCAAGTAACTAGTGATTATGGGTGCTCCTTAAAGGGGCAAGAGTTTCAGAAAGTGCTGAGTACCCACCATCTGAAAGTCAGGTGTCAAGCTGAGCACCCCAAACCACTGGGCACTTATGAAAAGCTTGACTGGAGTTCCAGGTTTATACTCTTGAAAAGGAATTGGAAAAACTGGAAATATTCCACTGAGGAACGAGGTGTATTTCCTTGGTCTGTATCTGACACTCCGATTCCCTCCTGCACTGCAGCTAGCTGGGAGTCCTATCAGCAAGGATGATCGTACTGGCACAAGCTAGTGCAGATAGTGTGGAACCCCAAGGGCTGGGCCTGTGAGGAGAGACATTTGAAATGTAGTTGTAGTAAAACTGCCTGATGAGTTATCTATAATGCTTAAGGTTAAAATAGGGAAGGAGAAACAACTGAAGGATACATCTGCAGAGCTGACTTCTTTTTTCAGCTGCCCTCCCCAGAGGGTGGAGACTGCTGAGTCTTACCTGGGGGCAGTGTTTTCAGGAGTTTTCTCTTGAATCAGCAGAGGCCACAATTCCTGCAGGTGGCTGCTGGACTCTATTTGAGTCATTAGGTGGGGCTTTGAAATGCTGCTATTTTTATTCTTACACAGCACACCCTTCTGTCTGGAGAGTAATCAGGGCCGGATTAACCTTTTGTGAGCCCGGCACCAAACATTTCTATGGGCCCCCATGGAAGCAATGGAGCATGGCGCGGGGAGGTCAGTCCCCAGAGCAAGGGGCCAGCCACAGGCAATGGGACATGGCATGGCAGGGGAAGCCCCGCTCCGCCCAATGCGAGGGCACTATTTACAAACCGGCAGACGCACAGTGGCCTGCCCGGCCCTGTACTGCCAGCATGCCCCTTCCCCTCGGGGGCAGGCCCATGCCATACCACACAGCCCCCCCCCCCAGCACCCCCTGACTCCCTATGTTCAGAGGCCCCCCGGACCCACTATGCCCAGCGTGCCCCCAGACTCACCCACAAATACACAGCACCCCCCCCACCCCCACTCTCTAGTGCCCCAACACACACAGATGTTCCCTGCCCCTTCACAGCCCAGCACCCCCGCCCCAGACTCCCCACAGACCCATTTCCCCAAACCCTGCCTCCTGGCCACACTCCCTGCTGGGTGGCGACTGTGTCTGCCGGGCTGAGCTGGCAGCGCAGCCAGGGCTGGTCCCAGGGCCGGGAATCGCTCTGGCCCCTCAGGAATGGCGTGATCAGCCAGGTCAGGGCCTGCCCGGCTGGGCTCCCTCAAGATGCACTTGCCTGGAGGGTCCCAACCAAGCCCCCCCCCCACTGTCTCCTCCTTCACCTGGCTGAGACTGGCCAGGCTACTGCACCAGTTCCAGGCGGCTCAGCTCTGGGGAGACAGGCGGGGCCCCACAGGTGGTGGGAAGCAGAGACTGCTCAGAGCCAGAGGTGCACTGGGGTCGCCAGGGGGCCGAGAGGAGCAGGGGGTGGGGCCAGGGAGCGGAGAAGAGCCCTCGGCCAGCCTGCGGGCAGGCCGAGAGGAGCAAGTGGTGGGCGGGGGGAGCCAGCGGGGTCTCGGGGCGCAGTGCAAGCAGAGCAGGCTGGGGACCCTTCTGAGCATGGGCTACTGGAGTCATTGTAAACCCAGAACTGACAATACTGCAAGGAAGTCAGCATGGCAGCTCCCCCCAAGGAGCGGAATGTTAAATACTCAGTGTGTGTTGTAATTCTGGTTTGTTTGGTTTTGGATGGTTTCTTGGCTGGAATAGATAAGGTGAAAAGTGTTTTCATGGTGGGAACACATACACACAAATAAAAGGGGGGAACAGCGTGAGGAGGAAGGGGGAGCGGATTGGATGAAACCAAAAGGGGTGGAGCCAAGTAATTATAAAGCTGATCTCTGGTGCTAGAGGCTCAGTCTTGGTTATTAGAATTTAGTGCTGGTCAGATTGCAGGTCAGATGCACGTTTGCCCTTAACAGCAATTTTTAGAAAGCGGTGGCTATTTTATATGATGGTTGTTAATGGAACGTTGTAAGTCAACTTAATGTACTTTTTAGGGGATCTTTGATTAAAGTAATTTGCTTTTATATTTACAATGGACTCTTGGCTTCTTTCTGCCCTTCCTCTGCTGTTTTCATGACTCACCACCCCCCACCTCTTATGCTACAATGATAATGTGACTGTGTCGTCAGCTCTAGGCAATACAATTCCAAATCTTATGCTATTTGTCAAACATGGTTTCAGCCTCATTCAGTCCATCCTAGGGTCTCACCCCCCTTCCCCCCAACACGGCCTACCCCAGCGCCCCATTGCATGTGATCTTTTTGCTTTCCTTTAATGGTCGATTAAAGCATCCATTCATACACACCCAGGCACACCGGGGGAGGAGGTGCTAGGTGCTGTAACCATGGCTCCCTCTTTGCCCAGAGCCTGCATTACACAGCATGGATGCAGCACAGCTGCGGGGCGAGGCATGGGAACAGGAGGGATGCCCTTGAGAACTGCACATTTGATTACACTGCTCTTTTTGTTCTTGAAGGAAACGCTGAGTTTGAAGGAGCAGGAGGGCTCTCACAAGGCCTTCCATGCCATGCTGACCTGGCTACTGAACCGGGATTCATCCTCCATCCAGGACTTCTGGAGGGTCCTCTTCAAGGATTACAACCTGGAGAGATACTCCAAGCTCCAGCCTATTCAGAGCAGCTTTCCCAAAGGTAGGAGGGTGCTCAGACAGACTGTGAAGAGAATGACTCCTTACCTAGCAGGCCTCTGCTCCATGAGGGTCCCTCCTCTTTAGGAACCAAGAGCTTCGCCTCTCGTACTCCAATTCCAGCCCCAGGAGAGGTGTAGAATGGCAGCCATCAGCCCAGGAATGAAGTGCACGGGGAACAGGGTGGGAGGGGAGGGGAGAAGCAAGCAGTGATTGTCTCAGTAACGATCAGCGCCAAGGGGTGAACCTGCACCAGATCACTGGGGAACTTAAAAAATCTAGAGCCCCAGCAAAGCACTGGGCAGTTTGGAATGTCCCCGCTCTGATGCCAATCTCTCTGCTGTCATTCTTTCCAGATGTGGATCTCAGCAGACAGCGCCGGGGGAAGAAACCACTCCCCAGCCCCAAGACATTGGTGCAGCACAAACAGCAGCCGAAAAGGAAAGCACCAGAGGAAAGGGACTCTCCCCAGCCAGCTCAGCCCTTGCTGAAATGCAACTTGAATCCTGGTATGGAGCCTCTTTCGCTGCCTGGCCCGTGCTGGATCCTGAGCCGTGCTGGTGCACAGCCTCCCAAACCCATCAAGCAGATAGCTCACCAGGCCTTTCTTACGCTCACAATTCCCCCAGGCTCTATAGGCAACGAAGAGCAGCTGTCCTGTTTTGGACTTTCAAGGAGCTCTTCCCACTTGGGTCTAACAGCTTCTATCCTGGCTTCTTGTAGGCCTCAAGTAGCTCCCCAACCCCTCCGCAGCTATCTAAATGGAGTGGGGAAGAGAGGTCTGCATTCTGCTGCCCAGCCAGGCAAGGGAGCAGATCAAAGTCCCAGCTAGGGGCTTGTGATCAGGCAGAGATTTGGCTGGGCCTTGCAGGGAGATAGATGCCAGTTGTCGGGGCGGCAGGAGGAGTAGGGAAGGATGAGATGGAGAATGTAGAAATGAAGAAGGAAATGGAAAGAATGGTGGAGAACCAGGGTGACTGGAAGAAGGGATGGAAGACGAGAGGAGAAAAGAATGAAGATTGAGAATTTTAAGAATGGAGATAGAGGAGAGGAAAAGGGAGCTGAAAGGAGAGAACCTAACAGAATGGAGAGAGAAAGGAAGGAAAAGTGGTAGATGGAAGAAGAGGAAAAAGAATAAAGAGTTGGAGAAAATGTAAGAAAAGTCACATTGGATATTTTTCTAAAATTCAGCTCTAGGATTTATTTGGGGGCAGGTCTCTGGCCTGTGCTCTACAGGGTGTCAGACTGGATGATCACAATGGTCCCCTCCGGCCTTGGAATCTATGAATCTCTTTAAAGTTCATATAAATCCATAATATACATTGCAGGGAGATGCAATCATTTATTTATGGTCTTTGGACTTCAGCTGAGTTTCTAAAGCTGCCCATTGTGCCCAGAGGTGTGCACCATGACTGCATGTGCAAGAAGGAATGTAACCACTTTCAATAAGGAGTTCTTACTGCTGAAATAGTTTCTCTTACACCCCAGCGGGTGCAATCTAAGCACCTAAATAGCTAGATCTGGCTGCTCATGTTGGAGCATCACCATCCCTGCCTACTGTTCCAGTTTCTTGTAAGGTTTCCATTATCTAACCAGGAGGCGAATTAAGGGCTCTTTCTAATAACATCCAATGTGTACCCTTGTCTCTAACCCATATTATAACCCCACAGGGACCCTGCCAAAGGCAAAAGCTGTAAAGAAACCAGAAGGTGTGGAGATCCAACGTTTCCCTCTGGGAAATGGTGAGTGATGTGTTTCCCTTCATTTCTCCAGCCCTGTTTGGAGAAATCTTTGTTGTTAGCACCATCCAGTAATGAACAGGCTAAAACCATTCCTGAGCTGGGTGTCACTGGGCCTCCTTCAGCATGGGAAGAGAATCCATGACCCTGCAGAGCAATGGCCCCTGTGAGTGCTAGTGGGTTGGCGTCTCCCATACACAACATTAGCTTAAGTAAAATGTCTCAGAGAAACAGCAGCTCCCAGAACCAGGTGACAAGTGCAGCACCACACAGGCACCTCAACGGGTGAAGGGAGGATTCTTAGTGTTTGTGAAGCTAAAGGACTAGTAGCAATGGATTTAAAAAAAAAACAGCAAACCCATCAACTGCATGACCTTCCCTACACAGCTCTGCCAACACACCTTGGGCACACCTTGCTCCAGAGCTGGGCTTGGCTGGTGTGCAGAGACTTTCAGTCATGCCCTGTAATGTGTGATATGACCAATGATTTACTAGGGACTGGACTGAGCCCACCAATCTCCTTTCATTTGAAATCAAATCCCTATTTAAACCCACCTCCCCAGATGCTGATCTCAGCAGGTGGGGAAGAGAGGTCTGCATTCTACTGCTCAGCCAGACATGGGACCAGATCAAGTGGCCAGCCAGGGGCTTGTGATCTAGTGGAGATTGGGATGGGCCTTGCAGGGACATGCAATCATCAGGTTTGGGGGAGCCCCCGATTGGGGTCATCAGGTTGTATTTAATGCCAGTTTTTAACATACACCTCTACCTCGATATAACGCTGTCTTCGGGAGCCAAAAAATCTTACCGCGTTATAGGTGAAACCGTGTTATATTGAACTTGCTTTGATCCACCGGAGTGCGCAGCCCCGCCCCCCTGGAGCACTGCTTTACCGCGTTCTATCCGAATTCGTGTTATATTGGGTCACGTTATATCGAGGTAGCGGTGTACTTCAAACCATAGCCCTCCCCCGTCCCTTGGGAGAATATATGTACAAAGGCCTCATGTTTCATTGATAATGACTGTTTTTAAAACCATAGGCATTCAGAGTATGGCTGCCTCAGTCCAGAGGGCTGTTACTGTGTCATCCAGTGAACTACCAGTGAGCTGCGGGGCTGTAGAAGGAATTCTCATCAAACAGGTGTTTGAGTCAGGTAGATATGCCAATGTTCTTGGGCCAAGAAATCATGAACCTGGGGCTAGTAGTGACTATAATGAGAGACACAGCTGAGTATCTAGGGAGTTAAAGAACAGTTCTCATGACAACAATGTGGGCCAACTCCATTCCAGGTTTTCCCCCTTCCTGAGGACAGCCTGGTTCCAGGGGACAGATTTAGTTCAGGTTAATCAGAGTGAAAGGACCCTCCTTCTTGAAGCTAGAAGCCACCCAGGCAATTATAGGTAGGGCAAGATTTCAATGCATGCTGGAAGAAGGGCTAGTAGGGTGGATGGTGGGGCCAGCGGGGTGGGCGTGCGGGGAGGAGCGGGGGGGTTAGCAGATCAGACCAGCCAGAGGGCTCTGTAAGTAGCATACACTGGTGGAAAGTGTGGATGGCTGTGGGAAGAAGAACAGAGACACGGATAGGGTCAGCATTTGGGGAGGAGCTGGGATATTGGGGGATGGGGAAACCCACAAGGGAGTCTCAGTTCAGGTGGAAAGTGTAGTGGTACTGTAACCCTGGACTGGGAGACCCCCTCCTCCTAGCATAGATGGTCTTTAATTTTTTAAAAGTCACTGGCAGAATATAAACAAACACACCTTCTGGCTACCCCCTGCCTGTGTAAGGAGGATGGAGTTGTGAGCAGTAGTTGTTGTGATGTGGGCATGTACGTACCATCCTGCCATGGTGCACAAGAGTTATTTTTGCAGCAACATGAAGTAGCAAATGGCAGCAGGACCCAGCACTACACCTTGCTGGGCCAGCTGGACAGGTGGTGTTCTGCCCCATGATTCTCACTAACAGGCTGCACATGGCAGGGTGCACGGCTACCAGCCACTGCCCCTGCTGTGCTCTCTGCCCTATCACTGGGATTTGGCCCTTGAAACGTCAGCATATCATGTGGATGATTCTTGACAAAGCACATGCAGGTCAGATCCTTCATTTACCTGCCAAGCCTTGGGCTCAGGATTAAGTTCCCTGATAAGAGTCCATCCCATCTCTAGCAGCTAAACAGGGACCTGAACTCCTGCCTGCCACATTTTCTGGGGTCCGTGGTGTCATCAGCTGCTTCAGAGGAAGTGCTGACTCCTGAACTGGGCCCTGGGAGGGAAACAGAGAAAATGGTTTTCAAACATTTCTAAAATGTAATGCTTTTACACCTGTTCTGCTTGAACTCCGGCATCCTTACCACGTTAACAATGAAACCTTCCCCTGCACCTGAGCATCGTTCGAGCAGCATGTGCATGTGCTCCCAGCACACAGCTTACATAAGCCAGAGTGTCCTCTCTTCCAGGGGGCTCCAAGAAATGTGTCAAAGTTGGAGGCGAGTTTTATGCACCAAGCAAGTTTGAGGAACCTGGGGGAAAGAACAAAAGCCGAAGCCTGAAGCCCAGTGTGCGAGTCAAGGGATTTCAAGGGCCCCAATATGTATGCTTTCAGCAAACATGAGTTGTTTTTACATCTTTGTCCTGTTTGAGTCCTCTTTGCAGTAAGGGGTTTCACACGTTGTACTGGTTCCACCCATACAGCTTAGCTCAGCCTTGTCCTTTTTCTTCATAAACTATCGAGCAGATTTGTGCTTGGCTTGGCCCTGGGCAGGTTGGGCAGACCTCGTGCTTAATGTGAAAGGTCTGAGTGGTTTTCTAACCTTTCCCTACTCTCTGAACCAGCTTGGCCTAAAGTGCTCTCAGAACAGTGTTCTTCCTGAAGCACAACAGCTTCTCCAGCCAGTTGGCACAAGTCCGACTCCATTGCCGGAGAACACAGGATGCTCTAGAGTCTAGACCTAGCATCCATCTGAGACAGGACATGCATCTATGGGATGTGCATTTATACAGCCAGTCTGATCACAGCAGCATTTCCTGCCTCACCCCCTGTCCATCTCACTCTGCAGAATGGGGAGCTGAAAATAAACTCACAGAGCAGCCTCCATGTCACCCCTGTTCACACCGTGGATCAACCCCTCCACCAGGTAAAAACCCTATTGAGGAGCTGAGCTTCTCCTTCCCCTCTGCCAGGAGCAGGCAAACTGTTTCTGTCCAGTGTCACTCCCTCCTCCTCCAGGGCAAATTTTCTAAATGTTGTGCAGGGCCAACATCTCGTTTTCATTGATTCTCTCGTGGTGGATAGCAGTGTGCCTCTTTGCTGCACCACCTTGTCTCCGTGAGAGTGAGATTCTCCTGTTGGGCCTCAGGGTGCTGCATGGAATTAGTACATGACTCCTGGAAGTCTCTGGTTTCCTCAGTGTGGTAGTCTTGCTACCAGAGAGGGGGAGACACAAGGGCTTGGTCAGGACAAACATTTGCTAGTGAAAAGCCTCCTGCCCCGGGAAAACTGGAATTCCCCAGAAGATTCCAAAGTGAAACAGCCACCATTTCCATCCACTGCCCAGCCCAAGAGCTCCCTGCTTAACTGACAGTCTGTGTGTGGGCACTAGACCTACATGTTGAAAGCGTAAAATGGGGAAAGGTTTTCAGAGGTTCAGAGCTTCCCTGCAGGCTGTCAGACGTGTTGTATATAACCCATGGAGACAAGTGTCTGTTGAATTTGTGGGATTCTGGAGCTTGGAATTAAGGATGAAGCATTCACTGCTTTAATTCCTTGCCAGATCCCCAGCAAGGAAGTACCTGCCAGGTGTAATGTCTCCGAAATACATAGACAGTACCTGGCCACAGAAGTCAAGCAGGCTTGTGTTATAATACTACATCTGCCAGCCAGCTGTAACACATGCTGTCCCCTGAGCATTCACCTCCCTTGGCTCCTCAGCTCTGTATTCTGTTTAGTCATCCTGTAGTGAGAAGAGAGAGGTATTTTCTGAAGTCCAGGATACTAATGTTTTGCTCCAGCTATTAGTTTTGTGACATCTGATAGCAAGGATTCACCAATTGGTCACCTGTGCTGGAACATGACCCTTTATGACAGACCAAATCCAGTTTGTCCTGCAGTATACTGGATTGCACTGCGCTAGTGTAACAGATCACCATAGTTGGAGTGAGGGAGAAGTTGGCTTTGAGTTTCTGTACTTTTGCTTTCTGTTACATCGTGCGCTATTTGCCTCCCTGGGTCAGAAGAACGATGATGAATGTGCAGTGTGCAGGGATGGTGGGGAGCTGATCTGCTGTGACGGCTGCCCCAAAGCTTTCCATCTGGCCTGCCTTGTGCCCCCACTGACAGAAATTCCAAGGTAATAACAAGCATTCCCAGGCACACTCCCCACAGCGAATATTTACTGCTCTATCACCCCATCAGCTCACTCTGGTCCAGGGGTGGGGGGAAGATGCAGGATTTTCAAAGTGCTCAGGGTTGGGCTAAAAAAATGCTGAAATAATTTTGCATTATTTTGCCTGATTTTTCTTAACCAGATTTAAAATAAAAACCAAAACTTATTGTCCTAAATATAGGAAGGCTTCCCTCTTCCCTAAATATAGGATTTAGCTGGGGATTGGTCCTGCTTTGAGCAGGGGGTTGGACTAGATGACCTCCTGAGGTCCCTTCCAACCCTGATATTCTATGATTCCTACAGAGGCAGAGACCTTGGGTACTTGTGGGGCCTACATGCAGGGCCAGGTCCTTAGTGGGTGTAAATCTGCATAGCTTCATTGTAATTCATTGGTGTTTACAGAACTAACCACTAGCCAGTACTGTTGCTTTACACAACTGTGACCAATCAGTTGAGTCTCCAGAAAAAATCCCTTGTATCTATAAGAAAGCACCATTGCGGTAAATGCAGGTTGGCTTTGCTTTCTCATTTCTTTTGTTCCCCCTAAACATTTGCTTACCTATTTCTTTACCATGTGACTTTGGACAGCGGGACATGGAGGTGCATCTCTTGCTCAGCTGGGAAAGTGAAGCAGGACCAGCGCATAGAAGAGGAGAGGGCCAGAGAGCCACCATCCGAGACACAGGTATAGCTAGGAGCCTTGCTTCACCAAACTTAGCCACGTCCAACCACTCCTCTATCGATATCCCCACACCGCTCTTCTCCTGTGCCCTAGATAGAAATTGGGCAAAATGAGAGGATTATGTTCCAGGCGCTGTTGGGATTACCCTGCCTTGTGTGTAATGTGACATGTGAACCCCCCTATGGCCACCCTCCTCTGCCCCTTGTACCTACACAAGAAAGGGTGGGCAAGATTTTGCTCAGAGTTTTTGCCCAGTCTGTTGGGATGGTTCTATGGTGACCAGACAGCAAGTGTGAAAAATCGGGATGGGGGTGGGGGGTAATAGGAGCCTATATAAGAAAAAGACCCAAAAATCGGGACTGTCCCTATAAAATCAGGACATCTGATCACCCTAGATGGTTTGCTTCCCTCAGTAGGGACGAATTCTTTGAGGGTGTCAACAAGCACATGGAGGAGGGTGATCCAGTCAACACAGTGTACTTGGGATTTTCAGAAAGCCTTTGACAAGGTCCCTCACCAAGAGCTCTTAAGGAAGCTAAGTGGTCATGGGATAAGAGAGAAGGTCCTCTTTTGGGTCAGTAAGTGATTAAAAGATAGGAAGCAAAGGATAGGAATAAATTATCAGTTTTCGCAAATGGAGAGAGGTAAAGAGCGGGATCCCCTATGATCTGTCCTGGGACCTGTGCTGTTCAACATATTCATTAATGATCTGGAAACAGGGATGAGCAGTGAGCTGGCAAAGTTTGCAGGTGATACAAAATTATTCAAGATAGTTAAATCCAAAGCTGCCTGCAAAAAGTTACAAATGTATCTCACAAAACTGGGTGACTGGGCAACAAAATGGCAGATGAAATTCAACATTGATAAATGCAAAGTAATGCACATTGGAAAAAAATAATCCCAACTGCACATAAAATGATGGGCTCTAAATTAGCTGTTATTATTCAAGCAAGATCTTAAAGTCATTGTTCATAGTTCTCTAAAAACTTCAGCTCAATGTGCAGCAACAGTCAAAAAGGTGAACAGAGTGCTAGGAAATACCAGGAAAGGACAGAAAATGCCACAGTGCCATTATATAAATCCATGTTATGCCACATTACTTTTTCCAGTTCTGGTTGCCCCATCTCAGAAAGGTTATAGTGCAACTAGAAAAGGTTCAGAGAAGGGCACAAAGGTGATAAAGGGAATGGAAAGGCTTCCATACAAGGAAAGAGTAAGGATTAGGACTGTTCCGTTTAGAAAAGAGATGGTTAAGGGGGGATGACAGAGGTTTATAAAATCATGAATGGTGTGGAAACAATGAATAGAAAAGTTCTATTTACCCTTTCCCAAAATACAAAAACCAGGGAACACCCGAGGAAATTAATAGGCTTAATAGATTTAATACAAACAAGAGGAAGTACTTTTTCATATAATGCACAATTAACCTGTGGACTTCATAGCCAGGGGATGTTGTGAAGGCCAAAATCATAACTGGGATCAAAAAAATAATTAGATAACTTTTCCTCCATGAACTTATCAATAGCTATTAGCCAAGATGGTCAGGGACCCAACCCCATGCTTGGGACAACCCAAAACCTCTGACTACCAGAAGCCAGGAGGAGAAGATGGGGTGGATCACTCCAAATACCCTGTTCTGTGCACTCCCCCTGAAGCTCTGGTACGGGCATACTGGGCTAGAGGGACCATTGGTCTAACCCAGTACGGCCATCCAGGAGACTGAAGTGCCTCTATACAGAACTGTCATCAGCAGATCCACCTGCAGGGGCCTGAGGTGCCTTCTCTGGAGGGACTAACTAACAACACTTCTGTTTGTGCCTAGAAGGGTCTGTATGGACACAGGGGAGCTGGAGACAGAGAGAGGATTCTTATCAAAGAACCCACGCCAGGCTCCGATGCCTCATTCACCTTCAAACAACCTCTGCCCCCTGCGCCTTCCCACTCACCAATGCCAGTGGTAATGCCAGCCTCAACCCTCCAGCTGCTGTCAAGTCTGGGCCTGGAGAGACAGCTAGTTTGTGGCTCTGCTTTCCATGTGATTTTCAACCATCTTACTCTACAGGGCCTTTAAAACCATGGTGTGCACAGTGTTCAGATTCAGAGAGTATGTTAAGCATATCTGAGTTGGCTATAAGGCATATTCAGCTTAGCCCCAGCACTACAAATGTACCCCAAAATACTCCATGGAGTTGCCACCCCAGTGCTCAGAGCAGCAGGTATGGGGTCAGTGCATGTGTCCTGTAAAGCAGAGCATGCACCATGCCTGCTGCAAAGTGGGGGAGAGAGGGCAGGGAGAGGAGAAGGGGCCAGCGGCAGAGGAGGCACTGCACCTAAAAAGGAGGTGGGCTGGGAGGGATGGTCAGAGCACATATACCCAAGACTCAGCAGGCCCCATGACTGATCCAGAATGTGAGTGTGATGGGATCCCCCACAGTGTGCAGCCTGGGACTGTGGGATCACTGTGCCCCCTTAATGCTCTCCTGCCTGGGCTGTCTCTCACAATGCTTTGCTAGTGACCAGCAGCAACCCCTCCAGGTGCTGTTATCACTCAGCACAAAAGCATGTGGAGCCCCCACCCAGCTAGATTGCATGAATGCTCCCAGAGTCACTCATGAATAGGGTGACCAGACGTCCCAATAAAATTGGTACCGTCCTGATATTTAGGCGTTTGTCCTGCGTCCTGATCGATCTTCGGTCGGGACGCTGCACTCTGCCTTTTTTTCCCCTCCGCCAGCAGCACTCGGCTGTTCTCGGCTTCCCCCCCTCCCCCCCGACTGCCGGCAGCACTCGGCTGTTCTCGGTTGTTGTTTTTTTCCCCTCTCCTGAAAACCAGAGGCTCCCCCACTGTAAACTGATCCACACATTGCTACCAGTCTGGACCCAGCTAGACTTGCATGTCAGAATGCAGAGTGAAAGGAAAAGTTACAGTGGTTGTTACTTCTCTGCTCTGTCATTATGGTGATAAGCATGGTGTAAATACCTAGACGCTGGACGTATGCATAGCTAAGGGAGGGTGCATAATCGCCTCTGACTGCCGGCAGCACTCGGCTGTTCTTGGCTCCCCCCCTCCCCCCCCGACTGCCGGCAGCACTGGGCCACAGTAGGGAATTGGGAGAGGGAGCTGTTTGTGTCGTTACACCAGCAGCACTCGGCTTTTTTTTTTTTTTTTTTT